TTTCTTAATGTTTTTTAATGTTTCTAATGTTTCCTAATGTTTCTTAATGTTTCTTATGTTTTTTTATGTTTCTCAATGTTTCTCAATGTTCTTAATGTTTCTTAATGGGTTTCTTTAAAGTTTCTTAATGTTTCTTAATGTTTCTTAATGTTTCTTAATGTTTCTTAATGTTTCTTTAAAGTTTCCCAATGTTTCTTAATGTTTCTGAATTTTCTTAATGTTTCTTAATGTTTCTTAATGTTTCTTAATGTTTTTTTCAATGTTTCTTAATGTTTCTTAATGTTTTTTAATGTTTTCTTAATGTTTCTAAAAGTTTTCTCAATGTTTCTTAATGTTTCTTAATGTTTCTTATGTTTCTTAATGTTTCTCAATGTTTCTTTAAAGTTTCTTAATGGTTTTAATTTTCTCAATGTTTCTTAATGTTTCTTTTAATGTTTCTTAATGTTCTTAATGGGTTTTCTTAACGTTTTCTTAATGTTTTTTAATGTTTCTCAATGTTTTTTCTTAATGTTTCTAATGTTTCTTAATGTTTCTTAATGTTTCTTAATGTTTCTCAATGTTTCTTAATGTTTCTTAATGTTTCTTAATGTTTCTTAATGTTTCTTAATGTTTCTTAATGTTTCTCAATGTTTCTTAATGTTTCTTAATGTTTTTAATGTTTTTAATGTTTCTTAAGTTTCTTAATGTTTCTCAATGTTTTCTTAATGTTTCTTAATGTTTCTTAATGTTTCTCAATGTTTCTTTTTCTTAATGTTTCTTAATGTTTCTTAAGTTTCTTAATGTTTCTCAATGTTTTCTTTAAAGTTTCTTAATGTTTTTAATGTTTTCTTTAATTTTCTAAATGTTTCTTAATGTTTCTTCTTAATTGTTTCTTATTCTTTTTCTTAATGTTTCTTTATGTTTTCTTCTTAAATGTTTCCTTAATGTTTTTTAAAGTTTTCTTAATGTTTCTTAAAGTTTCTTATGTTTCTAATGTTTTCCCTTTAAAGTTTTTTTTAATGTTTCTTAATGTTTCTTAATGTTTCTTAATGTTTCTTAAATGTTTCTTAAAGTTTCTCAAAGTTTCTTAATGTTCTAATGTTTCTTAATGTTTCTTAATGTTTCTTAATGTTTTTTAATGTTTCTTAATGTTTCTTAATGTTTCTTAAGTTTCTTAATGTTTCTTAATGTTTCTTAATGTTTCTTAATTTTCTTAATTTTCTTTAAAATTTTTTTCTTAATGTTTCTTAATGTTTCTTAAAAGTTTCTTAATGTTTCTTAATGTTTCTTTAATTTTTTTTTCTTAATGTTTTTAAAAGTTTCTTAATATTCTTAATGTTTCTAATGTTTCTAAATGTTTCTTAATGTTTCTTAATGTTTTTTCTCCAGCCTTATGTTTTTGGGTTGAGAAAACAACCGCAAAACATGGTTTTCACTTAACCGTGAAACCCTTTTTGTTCTCTGCTTTAGCCTTTCTTATTCTGTGGGGTTGAGAGTCAAAATCTTTTTAGTCTGCAATGCTAAGCGAACCTGAACCCTTGTTCTCCTTGGTTCTCCCGGAGCCTTGGGAAAAGGTCGTGCAGAGAAGAGGACAGCCTGTCAGATGGAAAGGTTGAAGCAGGAGGGAAGATGGTAGGCAGGGAGGAATGGTAGGCAGGAGGGAAAATGGTAGGCAGGAGGGAAGATGGAAAAGGGAGAGAGGGAAGATGGTAGGCCAGGGAGGGAAGTTTAGGCAGGAGAAGATGGTGGCAGAGAGGAAGATGGTAAAGGCAGGAGGGAAGGAGGGTAGGCAGGGAGGGAAGATGGTAGGGGAGGGAGGGAAAGATGTAGGCAAAAGAGGGAAGAGGTAGGCAGGGAGGGAAGATGGTAGGCAGGGAGGGAAAGATGGAAAGGCAGGAGGGAAGATGTAGGCGGGGGGGAAAATTTAGGCAGGGGAGGGAAGATGGTAGGCAGGGAGAGAAGATGGTAGCCAGGGAGGGAAGATGATAGGCAGGGAGGGAAGATGGTAGGCAGGGAGGGAAGATGGTAGGCAGGGAGGGAAGATGGTAGGCAGGGAGGGAAGATGGTAGGCAGAGGGAAGATGGTAAAGGGAGGGAGGGAAGATGGTAGGCAGAGGGGGGAAGATGGTAGGCAGGGAGGGAAGATTGGTAGGCAGGGAGAGAAGATTGGTAGCCAGGGAAGGAAAGTTATAGCAGGGAGGGAAGATGGTAGGGGAGGGAGGGAAGATGTAGGCAAGGGAGGGAAGAATGGTAGGCAGGGGGAGGAAGATGGAAGCCAGGGAGGAAAGTATAGGCAGGAGGGAAGGTGGTAGCCAGGGGGAAGAGGGGAGGCAGGAGGAGGAAGATTAGGCAGGGAGGAAGTGGGGAGGCAGGGAGGAGATGGTAGCCCGGGAGGAAAGATGGTAGGCAGGAGGGAAGGTGGTAGCAGGGAGGGGAAAATGGTAGGCAGGGAGGGGAAAATGGTAGGCGGAAGAGATGGTAGGCAGGGAGGGAAGATGGTAGGGCAGGGAAGAAGATGGTAGGGAGGAGGGAAGATAGTAGGCAGGGAGGAAGGTGGTAGGCAGGGAGGGAAGATGGTAGGGAGGAAAGGGAAGGGGGGTAGGCAGGAAGGGAAGAAGGTAGGCAGGGAGGGAAGATGGTAGGCAGGGGGGAAGTGGTCGGCAGAAGGGGGGAAAAAGGTAGGCAGGGAGGGAAAATGGTAGGCAGGGAGGGAAGATGGAAGGCAGAGAGGGAAGATGGTAGCCGGAGGGAAGATGGAAGGGAGGGAGAGGGAAAATGGTAGCCAGGAGGGAAGTTAAAAGGGAGGGAGGGAAGGTGGTAGGCAGGGAGGGAAGATGTAGGCAGGGAGGGAAGAAAAGGTAGGCAGGGAGGGAAGATGGTAGGGAGGGAGGGAAGATATTGGCAGGGAGGGAAATTGACAGGGAGGGAAGATAATAAGGCAAGGGGGGGAAAGGTAGAAGGCAGGAGGGAAGATATAGGGAGGTGGGGAAGGTGGTAGGCAGGGAGGAAGATGGTTAGGCAGGGAGGGAAGATGGTAGGCAGGGAGAGGAAGGTAGCCAGGGAGGGAAGATATAGGCAGGAGGGAAGGTATAGGCAGGAGGAAGTATAGGCAGGGAGGGAAGGAAGTGGGGCAGGGAGGGGAAGTGGTAGGCAGGGAGGGAAGATGGTAGCAGGGAGGGAAGATGGTAGGCAGGGAGAGAAGATAGGTAGCCAGGGAGGAAGTATAGGCAGGGAGGAGGTAGTAGGCAGGGAGGGAAGATATAGGCAGGGGGGAAGGTGGTAGGCAGGAGGGAAGATGGTAGGCAGGGAGGAGGTGGTAGGCAGGATGGGAAAGATGGTAGCAGGAGGAAGATGGTTAGGCAGGGAAGGGAAGATGGTAGGCAGGGAGGAAGGTTGGTAGGCAGGGAGGGAAGATGTATGCAGGGAAGGTAGATGGTAGGCAGGGAGGAAGGTGGTAGGCAAGGGAGGGTAGATGGTAGGCATGGAGGGAAGATGGTAGGCAGAGTAGAGAAGGTGACAATATGAGGGAGGGATGCAAGATGAGAAGAGAGGAGTGAGTTCATGTAGGGATGGAGGGGCTGGGGAAAGAACAGCAGGGACTGAAGGAGGGCGAGGGAAGGAGGTTGGGGAGAACCAAGAGAAGCGAAGAAATAAGTTGGAAAAGTAAAGGCATAGAAGTTAGCAGAGTAAGTAATGAGAGACTGGAAAAACAGGATGAAAGGGAGAGATGAAAACTAGTGAAGCAAAGGAATAAGGGGGGGAGGGGAAGGGGGTGGAGGGGAAGGGGGGAGGGGAAGGGGGGAGGGAAGGGGGGGGAGGTGAGGGGGGGAGGGGAAGGGAGAGAAGTCGAGAAAGAAATGTGACGCAAGAATCAAACTAGGAAAGATTAATAGAGATAAAAATATATAGTCAAAAACTTAATGCTCTTCTCTCTCTCGGTCTCTCTCTCTCTCTCTCTCTCTCTCTCTCTCTCTCTCTCTCTCTCTCTCTCTCTCTCTCTCTTCTCTCTCCTCTCTCTCTCTTCTCTCTCTCTCTCTCTCTCTCTCTCTCTTCTCTCTGTCTCCTCTCTGTCTCTGTCTCTGTCTCTCTCTCTCTCTCTCTCTTCTCTCTCTCTCTTCTCTTCTCTCTCTCTCTGTCTCTCTCTCTCTGTTCTCTCTCTCTCTCTCTCTCTCTCTCTCTCTCTCTGGTCATCTCTCTGGTCTCTGTCTCTGTCTATCTCTCTCTCTCTTCTCTCTCCCTCTCTCTCTCTCTCTCTCTCTCTCTCTCTCTCTCTCTCTCTGTCTCTTCTCTGTCTCTGTCTCTGTCTCTGTCTCTGTCTCTCTCTCTCTCTCTCTTCTCTCTCTCTCTCTCTCTACTCTCTCTCTCTCTCTCTCTCTCTTTCTCTCTCTTCTCTCTCTGTCTCTCGCTCTCTCTCTCTCTCTCTCTCTCTCTCTCTCTCTCTCTTCTCTCTCTTCACTCTCTCTCTCTCTCTCTCTCTCTGTCCTCTTTCTCTGTCTCTTGTCTCTGTCTCTCTCTCCTCTCTCTCTCTCTCTCTCTCTCTCTCTCTCTCTCTCTCTCTCTCTCTCTCTCTCTCTCTTCCCTTCTCTCTCTCGTCTCTCTCTCTCTCTCTCTCTCTCTCTCTCTCTCTCTTCTCTCTCTCTCTCTCTCTCTCTCTCTCTCTCTCTCTCTTCTCTCTCTCTGTCTCTCTCTGTCTCTGTCTCTGTCTCTCCTGTCTCTCTCTCTCTCTCTCTCTCCTCTCTCTCATTCTCTCTCCTCTCTCTCTCTCTCTCTCTCTCTCTATGTCTCTCTCTGTCCTGTCTATGTCTGTCTCTCTTCCTCTCTCTCCTCTCTCTCTCTCTTCTCTACTACTCTCTCTCCTCTCTCTTCTCTCTCTCTCTCTCTCTCTCTCTCTCTCTCCTGTCTGATCTCTGTCTCTCTCTCTCTCTCTCTCCTCTCCTCTCTCTCTCTTCTCCTCTCTTCTCTCTCTCTCTTCTCTCACTCTCATCTCTCGTTCTTCTCTCTCTACCTTTATTAGCACATAGC